TTAAAATGAGATTAAAACATATGCACTAATTGGTGGTAAGAATTTACTTTCTATGCAAAAACATAAATATTGTTTTATCCCAACACTAGATTTCTGTAAACAAAACAAGAGAGAAATATGAATTGAAAAATAATTGTAATTCAAATAAAAGGAGTGAAGTTATGCTTTTTTTGTATGAATTATCTGAAATCTGCTGAAATAATTACAAGTATTTAAATTTGAATAGGGCATCTACGTATTAGAACATCAAGTGGTTAAGATGAAAGTCTGCATATTTTATTATAAATCCTATACCCTTAATAAAAGTCACAATGTACTTTCAGAATTATTTTATGAGCTATATATCATTTGCAAATAATAAAGTGCAAAAATACATGGATATTCACCAGTCCTTAAAATTACACATTTTATTGTAATATTTTTGGTTAAATGATCCTGTAATGTACAGGGAAATAAACAAACAGAAGCACACACACACATACACACACATGCTCCTGTTGATAAAATTTTGGTTTTTGGTAGGAGGTTTTGTATTGTTTGTGGCAACTGCAAGTAAGTATTTTTAATCACGGGAAATTTAGATAGTGAGTACAGCAAGTTCTTTTAAAAAAAACAAAAAGCTTTCCTTTCTCCCTTTTCCCCTTTTGCCTGAATTAGGTGAATAATTCTCCCAGTTGTCCACTTAGCTTTTCCTGTGGAGGTCACATGGGCATCTTCGTACAATCTGAGGTTACCATATTCTCTCTAAATAAATACTGCATTTATTACTAGATATTCATAATCATAGATCTGGCTACTTACTCTGTAAAGGTAATTTTTCAGACCATGTATAATAAAACTAATTGTTGTTACACATAATTTTAAAACATTTTAAGACCTTGTCCTCAGTAAGATGTGTTTAAAATAATCATTTTCTTATAGCATGGATAGCACAAAAATAAAAACAGGTTTATAGAAACTTAAGAGTAATCTTTTTTAAATTTTTAGTAATATTTAAGACAGGACATGATTTCCTAATTTTAAAATGTCAGTGATAGACAAGGTGAAATCTCTGAATTAATGGGGAACTAACAACCACCCATTCTTTCATATGTAACTATGATTATGTTCCAGTTATTATGGTGGGTCCCAGGAACACAAAGACAAGTAAAAGGTAGTCTCCACCCTCAGGAGACTCATGGTCTGAAAGAGCATCAGATAATCGAAGAAGCAATAATGGGAGGAGCCCCTAAAATGTTCTAAGTAGAGGAAGGAAAAGATTAGCTTGTGTTGCAGGAAGGTAAGACTTGTGAAAAAATACAAGGTAAAAACAAGAAAATGTACATAGCTTCTAGTGTGCCAAACCCAGAGTATTCAAATAAGATTTCCATCCTGCAGGAGCCCCTAATCCCTCCTGCTGTCAAAGAAGCCATTTCAAACATATTATTGTAATAGAAGAAAGAACTATAATCAGTTCACCGATGAGGTTCATGAATCCCTTCATGCAGCAGGACTGATCTAAGGTTTCCCTGGAGAAGAGGTGCTAGAATAAATAAATGCATCCAACAGATTACCCATCAGTCAACCTTACTGAACCAGTTACTTTCTCCAAAGCTGAATAATTATGATCACATTCAAGTGAACTAAGAAAGTACCTGGTGACTATTCAATGAATAACAGTTCCCTTTGTCTGATCCAGATTTCTAGTTTCAAGCCAGGCATTCTCAGAGATTTACCACAGTACCTTACATGTTTATAGAGCTCTACCATTTACAGACTATCATAATTCCATTAGAACCTCATAAAGGTCATCAAATGAGAGAGGTGGAATAAATCATCTTATTTACAATTTAGAATGAATAAGTTTAGGTTTATAGAGGTTAGGGAACTTATCTAAAATTGCTAGAATCCAGCTAGAAAAGACCATAACTCAAGTCTTCAGACTTTTGGCTTGTAAGTATTAAACTTCATAATAATCTTTACCACTAAATTGGGCCTTAGGAAGAATAAAATTCAAAAGATAGTACATAAAATCAAAAATAAATGTGTTAGGGTGAGATTATGGGTATTGCTTTAATTTTTAAAATACTGTTGCAGCATAATTTTTACAGATAAAACAGTTTTAATTATTGAATTCAATTCCTTCCCTCCATTCTTAAGTAAATGAAACTGAGTTTTAAAGAAACTGAGTGCTGCCAAAACTTACAGTAAGAACAATTAACATGGTAAGAATTACAATCCAGGATGCTTGACTTCTAGCCCAATTTTCTTTTTTAGACACTGAAAGTATATCAAAAATAACAAATTTAACTTTTGGAGGTAACAACACTAACTTCTTGTTTCTTCTAGAGAGATTAATATAAATAAAATATTATAGGAAAAATAGTTATAGAGTTACTGATATAAAGGTTTCTATTTTCAAAGAGCCAATAAATAAATATAAAATTAGAATTTAAAACAACAGATCTTCCAAATGTTTTTTTTCTCATGACTGTGCTTATTTTGGTAAAGAATGAAAATTCCATATACTACTCTATATTATAGAACTGCTATAAGTACAGCAGTTTTAAAATAAGAATTATAAACTACTATTATTAAGTAAACTATGGTTGATAACAATATCAGTGCCTTAAGACCTGTGATAGTGTTCATATAGCTGACACACTTTACATCTGATCCACTGTTTATCATCCATATACAAGTGCCTACAATGTTCAAGGGACTTTTCAAGGTTCACTGGAGGGATGAATCCACCCAGAGTCAATAAGAAAGAAAAGATACGTATTCAAACTAACATAATGTGTGGTTTTAAATCTGAAATAACATTCAAGCTTGTCCTTAAGAAGGATTTATGAAAGCAGGAGTGAGAGGAAGTGACATTTTAAAAAGAACAGCATGAGTTAAGGCAGCAAAATATAAAGGTTCCAGGATGTGTGAGGAGCAAAGATTACTCCTATGGTGGAATATAGGATTCTGGTGGGGGGACAGGTGGGAAATGAAGCTTGTAAGGCCATACATATCACAGGTGCCTTGAATGCCAGGGAATTCTGATTTTAATTAATAAGGAATGGGATCTCAAAATAAAAGTGTAATGATTGGTCTAAAAATATAAAATCTGGAGCAAACATCTGAGCATTCAACAATAAGCTCCAGTTTAAAAAAATGTTCTGTTACTTATGTTTCAGATCAAATAGTAATTCCATGAAAAATTTTATAGAATGCTCAATCACTAAAGTACCTTAATGTTTAAAAAGACAGCCCAAAGCAGTTTGCCTCATAATTTAAATAATTTTTAAAAAAATGAACCAGAGAATGAACAATGTGGGTTTTCCACAGGTTTTAAATGTAGACATGTATGTTTATTTTTCTAAAGCATATGTTTGATTTTTCTCAAGGATTATAATGGTAACCTAGGCTGGACAGAAGGAAAACTATGTTAAAAGAAAAATATAAATTTTTTTTAAATAAAAGAGTAAGGAAGGTACTGGTGCCTTTCAAATCCTCTGAGTTGTTTCCTAAGCTGTGGGTCTTGAGCTGATAAAGGTGAAGTTAAGGGGAAGTGGCAGTGAAGAACAGCACATAATTTGTGGTTGCAGACATGATTTCAAGCATTCATAACCAAGTACTGCTATAGTGGAAACAGGAAGGGGTGTACAGTTAAGCAGACCTTAATTTAAAGACTGGTTATTAATCTTCAATACATTTCTTAACTTCTCTTTAATTCATTTTCTTATTCTGTAAAATGAGGATAACAAATATTTACCTTACAGATGATGAATAGAAAGAGCATAGAAAGTAGCTGAATATTCAATAAACAATAGCTCTTCAATGAAAACCTAATACTTAGTAAGATCCTACTGTGTACCTGCCACCGTGATGCTGTGGCTTTTAATCCTTTTAATCCTCCAGAGTTCAAAGAGAGGTGAATTGTACTTAGGTGATCAAGGAGCAACTTGAAGTATCTCCTACTTCTCTCTCTCTCTCTCTCTCTCTCTCTCTCTCTCTCACACACACACACACACACACACGCACACACACACGGGAGTGAGAAAGAGGCGCCACAAAACAAATAGTGGTTCTAATTTGCACTACAGCTTTAAGAAGGGACCTTGTGTCTCCTGACGGTCTCTGAAGATAATTGATACTTGATTATTAAGACCTGTGCCCAAGTCCGATTCCTCCGTTTCATCCCTCTCTCAACCAGTTTAGGGTAGTAAGCTTCTCTTTCAGTGCTGTACACATTAAGAGACTAAAGAGAATGCGAAGATATGCGTGTAGGACTCCTCCGCTCTCCACCCCATCTTAACTCTCAAGAAAACTTTGGTCGGCTTTTCTCTGTTCACTGGTCTCTTTCAGAGTCAGTCCTGACTTCTCAAACTCCCCAGTAAAAAATGTTGTGACATAAGGATTTTCTTTAAAATCTATTTCGTAGCTATCCAATTGGGTCGGTTCTAGAAGATCAGAATTTCCCCACTTCCCTTACCCTCAGTTGTCAGCTCAACTTTGGCAGTGAAAATACCGCCCTAAACTATTGCGACCCAACCCCCAACCCAAACATTTCACAGGCTACTAAGCTGCGGAAAGCACAGAGATTGACAAATTTGGATTCTGTGATTCCCAGGACATCAGGCCAAGCAACTGAGAGGTCCAACCGGGGTAAATTCCACAGATGTTTTCTTCTCTCTTTGGGATCAGTGCTTTAACATCTGGGCTAACCAGCTCGTGCAGACACAGTAACTAAGCGCAGAAAACGGCTGGGCGAGTTGCTCAGAGCCCAGACCGACCGTGACTAGTTGTTCTTAGAAAACGCATCTGGAAATACCAGCACCAATAGGCGTGTACCGTCTGACTACTGATAAGGCAGGGGTAAAACCGAGCATATTTTGGACTTTGGGGCCAGTTCTGCACTGTTGAGAAGTCCTTTTGCTTTTAAGTTTTGAAATTGGAATGTACCTGGGGTGGTGGGGAGAAGGGGCAGAGTGGCAACTACACGAGCTGAAAGGAAATATATTTGCACTCACATATTCCCCAGATTCTTCATAAACAGGGATGGAAGAGAGAACTCATGAAGTCCAATTTCAGCATTAAAACAAAGACTTGCTGCCTGATTCCGCGCTTCCCTTAGTTGGTTTATTTGTCTGGAGCTGCATCTCGGTTAGTGCGCCTGCGACCCCGCAAGCTGAGGCCACGCCTCCCTGGTGTCGTAAAAAGTGCGCCGGGAGGTGGACGGCGGGCTGCACATGCGCCGTCATTGCATCAGCCACTTGGTCTGTGCTGGCAGCTGGAACCACCGGGAAGGCGGTGTCTCTCGGCGGGTTTGGCGCTGCGCGACATCAGGCTGAGAAAAGAAGGGCTAAGAGTAAGTGCTCCCTTCGGCCGCTTGAGTCAAAGCTAGAGTATTTCCTTCCCGCCAGGCAAGTGCCTGTAGGAATCGGACCCCGCCCCCTTACCGGTCTAGACAGACGCCTTTTCTCCTCCCGGCCCCTTTCCCGGTGGGGATCCCCTCGGTCTCCCAGTTTTGGTAGTGAGCCCCTGCCAAGGCCATGAAACTCGTGAGGAAGGACATTGAGAAAGACAATGCGGGCCAGGTGACCCTGGTCCCCGAAGAACCTGAAGACATGTGGCACACCTACAATCTAGTGCAGGTGGGCGACAGCTTGCGCGCCTCCACCATCCGCAAGGTACAGACTGAGTCCTCCACCGGCAGCGTTGGAAGCAACCGGGTCCGCACTACCCTCACTCTCTGCGTGGAGGCCATCGACTTCGACTCTCAAGCCTGCCAGCTGCGAGTTAAGGGGACCAACATCCAAGAGAATGAGTATGTCAAGATGGGGGCTTACCACACTATCGAGCTGGAGCCCAACCGCCAGTTCACCCTGGCCAAGAAACAGTGGGACAGTGTGGTTCTGGAGCGCATCGAGCAGGCCTGTGACCCAGCCTGGAGTGCCGATGTGGCAGCTGTGGTCATGCATGAAGGCCTTGCCCATATCTGCTTAGTCACTCCCAGCATGACTCTCACTCGGGCCAAGGTGGAGGTGAATATCCCTAGGAAACGGAAAGGCAACTGCTCCCAGCACGACCGGGCCTTAGAGCGATTCTATGAACAGGTGGTCCAGGCCATCCAGCGCCACATAAACTTTGATGTCGTAAAATGCATCCTGGTAGCCAGCCCAGGATTTGTGAGGGAGCAGTTCTGCGACTACATGTTTCAACAAGCAGTGAAGACCGACAACAAAGTGCTCCTGGAAAACCGGTCCAAGTTCCTTCAGGTAAAGCAGCCTTACCCAGGGATAATTAAGAATGGGCAGAGGGGTTTGTATAAAGTACTTCTAAAGTTTTAGAACTGGGAAAGTACAAGAGCAGAAAGTGTTTACCTGACTGTGATTGTATAAATGAGATCATGAAAGAGAATTGTTAAATAGCTAGCAAAATTATATAGTAAATTTTGCTTAAGTCCTTAAACATATAAAGCCTATTAGTGCTTTTTGGCTTTAGGTCATTGTGGACTGTTTAATGGGTGCTCTAACAGATTCTTTTGTCTAACTTTTATACTTGTGACCCTAGGTACATGCCTCCTCTGGACACAAATATTCCCTGAAAGAGGCCCTTTGTGACCCTACTGTAGCTAACCGCCTTTCAGACACTAAAGCTGCTGGGGAAGTAAAAGCCTTGGATGACTTCTATAAAATGTTACAACATGAACCTGACCGAGCTTTTTATGGACTCAAGCAGGTGGAGAAAGCTAATGAGGCTATGGCAGTTGACACACTGCTCATCAGTGATGAGCTCTTCAGGCACCAGGATGTAGCCACACGGAGCCGGTATGTGAAGCTGGTGGACAGTGTGAAAGAGAATGCAGGCACTGTTAGGATATTCTCTAGTCTTCATGTATCTGGGGAACAGCTCAGCCAATTGACTGGAGTAGCTGCCATTCTTCGCTTCCCTGTCCCTGAACTTTCCGACCAAGAGGATGATTCCAGTTCTGAAGAAGATTAATGATTGGAACCTATAATTGAGACAGCATTGTGTCTTCTCTTCTTCACTGTTACACATTTTCACAGCATATTTGTGACAGAAAGCTGCAGCAGTGGCACTTTGTGATTCTCACGGGGATTTCTCCTGTATTTGGTCACAACTAGATACTTTGTGGTTGGCAGGACATGTATTCAAACTAAACAATGAATTAAAAGGAAATCATCTCCATGTAGTGCCATCTTTATTAGGATAATTTTATATAGGAATTACGAGTTATTTGCAGTACTTAGAAAAATTTTATATATTTAATAAGAAAGCCTATTTATTTGGGATAGATTATAAAATGCCATACTTTGTGCTTGAAATAGTTTTCCTTAGGAAAAACTTTTTAATATTTCACTATCCTCAGTTTACATTGTTTATGTTCTGCGTAGTGTTCTTGCACTGTGTTTAATGACCCCTTTTCTCCCCACTGCCCCTACACTCAATTTTTTTGTAATTTATTTGCTATTTTAATTTTGTTATATAGCCAAATAATTAGTAGACTTTTCTTGAAGGCATGTTTAAAATGGTATTTTTTTAGAGAGTTGTTAAAGCAATCATGTTAAAAGTAAACCCTTGTCTGTGTGTGTGTGTGTGTGTGTGTGTGTGTGTGTGTTTAAGAATCAATCATACTTGCTTTAGAGGACCACTTGGTAATTTTTTTCTCATAGAGTTTTGATCTACTAGGGATTCTCAAGATAATCTAATTGAGGCACCTTTATTTTTAAAATGAGACTAAAGTATGTGATTTGCTTATTATATGGCTAATTAGTGGCAAAGCTGGAAGTAATCCAATCTGGACTTCATTTCTTTGCATTGTCACATTATATATGTACTTATTTTGGGCTTGTCATAATTATACTTCATAACTGTCTTATATTTGTATGTGGCATTAGTCAGTGCATTCTTATTGAACTTTCTCTACACCCTATTTTAGGGCTGAGAAAACCTGTTCAGAAAGTTTGAGTAAGTCACATTGATAATATGTGGCAGTTGACTTGTACTCCAATACTCTTTACTCTATTTAGGGGATTTCTGCAAATACCTGAGAGTTTAAAATACTCTTTATTAAATGCTTTTGATGTTCATTTCTAAGAATTGGGAGGGAATTGCATCTTGACCTTTTACAAACCTCAGTTTAGTGAAATGATGAGGAAAGGCCTTCTGAAGAAAGAGTAATTAATTAATTTATAATTTAAGGATTAGTGATGCCTACTTCTGTTAAGGATACTAAGTAATGTCTTGATTGTCCTTTCTGTGTCTGGGCCTTTCTTCTGGTATAAGTACCAAGTTTGAGAAATATTTTTTATAAATTAAGCTAATCTGAACCTTTTTATCTGTAATTAGGAATAGACACCTGCATGTATTTCAAAATCACATTTTTGTGTATCTACCTCCTAAAAGTAATTCAGATTGTCATTTCATTATATTCTATAAGTATCTAAAATATGTTATTAAATAATTTGGTAGGAGTATAGAAATTAAGCCTCTAAGATTCTTAATGTTATAACCTGATTGATAATGAATCACATTCTCAATAAGAATTTGGAGATTTGAGGCATCAATTACACTCAATCTACACAATACTAGTTATTCTCAGGCCTGTTATTTATGGTAATAGAAACCAGGGGCAGTAAAACCTACCAATAACTAACAAATACATTTTAGGCCATAGGCTCTCAAATTTAGTTGCTTGTTAGCCTGACCTCGGGATTTAAAACTCAGTGTCGAGACTGGACCCAGACTAAATAACCTTGCACCCCTAGAAATTTTTTAAACCTCCACAGGTGATTCCAAATAGGTATTAAATCTTAGAACCACTGATTCAAGCCTTGCTATTCAAAAGTGTGGTCCATGGACAAGAGCATGAGAGCTTGTTATAAACTAGAATCCAGGACCCTACCCTGGAGCTACTGAGTTGCAATCTCCAGTTGATTGCTTTATATAATCAAATCTGATAAACATAGGCAATGGCTTATTCTCTCTGCACTAGTAAATCCTGGCTGGGGTTGCCAGCCGTAGAAAAATAGATTTGAATTATAAGCTCTTTGAAGAGAGTTAATTGGCCAATATTCAGTTTTTTATGAAACTTCTATAAAAAAGCCTGCTATATGTCTATAAAGTACTTAAAATACCCTTCAGAATTCCTATGTTTACAGTTACATTTTATACCATTAATAGTGTAAATCTTTTAAAGTGTATAGATAGAAATGTCAAAATACTGAAAGGAGCATATAAAATAAAAAATTCTATTAAAATTTTTACTATTCTTTAAAAGCAAAATGAACCATAAGTCTTTGGAAACCATATATAACAGTCTAATACCTATTTATAATGAATTGTTATTCATTAATAAGGAATGATGGGTAATAAATGAAAATGTTACTGTAACATACCTCCCTATTGAATGCAATATTTGTACTATAGATTCACACTTTGATTTTCTACCCCCATTAGGCACAATAAATGAGAAGCTTGCAAATTGTTTCATTTTATTCTACATATGATACAAATCAAATTACATTTTGCTATCCCTGGCCCCCCATTAATGTTACATATTTAGCTAATTTTATGTCTGGATTACTGATTCTGGATTTCACTTTCATTACCCCCTTTATATACAAGTTGGATCTGTTTCCTCCCAGATGTCACTAGAGTAGCTTAGTAAAGGTAATTTTTTTTCTCTACTTACTGTCACTCACTTTAGTTCCTTTTTTAATCCCTATGACCAGTTCTCTCAACCTCAAATTATCTTTAACCGAAATGACTCATAATTTTTACAATTCAGTACTCTCGAAGTGAAATACTCCATGTTTCTAAAAATAAAAGTATACCTATGAAATGGTATATATGTGAACTCCCCAAAGTAGAAGCTGTTAGTTGGGAAAGGAGTATTATGCTTTTAAGTCAGATAATTTTCCAAGCAATTAATACGGCTCTGTGTTCTGTATCAGAATGTGTTGAATAAAGGTTTCTGAGGTGATTCTGAGGGTTTGAGAAGAGAGAAACTCTTTTGCCTGTGGCCAGAGCTTAAATATGAGGCATCCATATTTATATTACACCAGTCATTAAGGGTAACACATTTAACTTTATCCATTTCTTAGTAGCTACTTTGAACCAGCCACTGAGCAGGGTTTAGGAAAGATGGAAATGTAAACAACTCACTGTTATAAGAGTATGTAAGGGGTCACTTTTAGGAGGAACTTTGTAGAGGTAGTGCCAGAAAACTTACCTAAATGGTGAGAAGAAAACTGGAGAGGCTACCAGGAAAAGGAGGGCCGGGCAAGTGTGCCAATCACCTTAGACCCTCCCACAATAAATAGTGTGGGTTTGACCATAATGAGAGATCCCACCAGTAGAATGTCATGATAAACTGCATTTCACAAATATCACTGGCAGCATCATGGGTTTATTGGAGGAGGCAAGACTGAAGGTAAGATCAGTTAAAAGAATGTTTGAAAAATGCAAGGGAAAAAAGATGCTGGCCCGAACAAAGGCAGTAAAAATAGTCCTTGCAATAAGAATGAAGTCAATAGTAGAGGATCAAAAGGACACAGGCTGCAGATTGTTCAGTCACAGAAAGAATAGAGTTAGGGGTAAATCTCAGATTTTTTTCTTGAATTGTGGAACTGATGATAACTCAAACAGACAATATAGGAAGAGAAACTGGTATGCAAGGAAAAACAGTTTAGTTTTGAATCTTTGATTTGAAATGCTTGTGGGACATCTGGAATGTTTTTCCACCATATTTCCATTTACTCACTTCCTTATTCCCTTCAGGTTTTTGCTTAAATGTCACTCAGTGAGGTCTTTCCAAATCAGCCTTTTAAAAAATGTAACTTCTCCAACATTTCCTTCCAAGCCCTTGTCCCATTTTTCTCTGTAATGTTTATTTCACTCAGTTGCTTTGCTTATCATTTGTCCACAGTGTAAGCCATGAGGACAGAGATTGTTATCTGTTAGGTTCATTGCTATATCCCCAGAGGTGACAATTATCCCTGGCAAAGAGTAGATGGCTCAAAAAAGTTTTGACTAACTGAATAACCAAATGAAAATACACAAGAACATCCCTTAGGCAATTATGCACACAGGTCTGAAGTTCAGGAGAAAGCAGTTGGCTGGTGGTAATGTTTTTATAAGAGTTGTCAGCATATAGGTAGACCTGAAATCATAGAGAAAAGTGATCTAGCAAGAATCAGTAAAGGTGGGGGAAAAAAGAGCCAAGCATAGATGCATAGTGATACAGCAATATTTAATCTCTTTAAATGCTACTTAACTACATTATCTTGTATTATAATCAAGACAGAGGTGTTCATATGTCTCAAAATTTCATCTGGTCAGATCATTATTTTTTTCTCCTACAGATCTTGGTAATGAACTAGAGAGATACATGTAGAATAACTGAAATGTTGATTTCATAGAAGTTGAGTTGTTAAATGTTCTTAAGATAAAAAATTTCTAAATCTGGGGCAAAAGTCAAATTGCTTTTGTATATGGCTTTTAAGGTAGTTTTAATATACATGTACATTTATAAATGTAACATGAAAGTTCCAGTTTTTAAAATATATATATATATATAAAATGGGTGATAATTGAATATCTTAAGAGACTTTTTCAGGATTCCCATAATACATAAATTACTAGCAAGTTCATCTCATTCAGGCCAGGGTTAGAGCAGGGTTGCTACTGGATCCTTAGCCCTTGTGCTCCCTATTCTAATGGGACCTCTTTGGTCTCCACCACTTCCTCTTGTACTCCCTGCAGGCCCACAAGTGTCAGACTGTGTCATAAACTTAACAAAATTTTATTTATATTTGTTTTAAAAGTTGATTTTGATCAGCCCATAATTTTGTTGATACACATTTTTCAGTAAATGAGTTACCAGGTAGTGAAGAGCAACTAAAAAAAGAATCACAATTTCAGGTACAGTTTTCTAAACCCTAAATAAAATTGTTCTCTTCATATTGATGTCAGTATATATTTGGGCTTTGTGTGGTAATGCAGTTTATGTATTCTAGGAGATTTAGTATTTTAGAAAAGTGCTAGTCAGTTTTCTTAGTGCATTGTGTGTACTGCTGATGACTTGCAACTTTAGAAGTTTAGTTCAAAAGCATTACTGAAAAGCCAAAATAATTTCTAAAGGAGTTGAAATGCCAGTACAATATTTTTGTGTATCAAGGATAGCTTATTTAGAAAATATTCCAAAGTCAGCAATGCAGCTAATTAAGATGCTGAAAAGTAAGATCTATAGTAATGGTCTGGGAATTGGAATTTAGCAAACACAATCTGAAGACCTGCTTAACATAATCATTAAGTAGCAGGTAAACTTTCCTAGAGATAAAAAAGAAATTGGCCAAGTTCAGAAAGGAGAGAGTTAAAATGAAAAGACCATGGAAAAGCCTTGGCAAAAGATATCAGTTAAGCTGAAGTGGAGATGATAAAATCTCATTCATTGTTTTTCTTTACATAGCAAGAATTGTCCCTTTTTAGGAAATGTTTGATATAGTATCACCATCTATTCTCATCTGTATTTTAGAATATTCTTTATAGATTTCCAGGTATAATAATCCTTAAGGCAACCCATTTATATTGCAATATTTAATTATCTATTTTAAGAAACACATTAGTGTATTATAATAAATAACACTGGGAAAGAAACTGAGATATCGTGAATCTGTTCATTTAAATTGAGGAGAAACAAACCCATTTCCTCAAGGAAAATCCACTTTTGTGTGCAATGCTTACATACAAATTTTAGGCTTTATCATTTTTATTATTCATAGTGAGTATTTTAATTATATAGTATTTTAATTATATAGTAATTATATAGTATTTTAATTATATAGTAACTGCATCAAAATGTGAAAGTTCTTATATTTGCAGGTGCCATTTGCTAGAGACATTTATGATAAATTGTGGGGACCTGGATTACCAATCCTCTTTTAAATTCCCTTTCCTCCATCCCTTTACTTACCCACATTAGAATCCCATTCTCTAGAATGCTAATATAATGGAAATGCCTGTTTTTCTGAAATGTAGGAAACTTCAAGGACTTAGAGCTTCCTGGAACTTAAGATGCCACATTTGGTCCCAAAATACCCAATTCTGAGGCAGGGCAATATCTGCCAGGCAGCAAATACAAGAGAAAAATGTGTTTGCAACCACACTGCATGGCCACATGCAGGGCCACAAAACATACTAGAATAAAATTGACCATGTGTTTATTAAGGGCCAGGCCTATGGTAAGTGCTTTCAAGTGAATTATTTAATTCTTTGCAAAGTCCTGTGAGAAAGGTTTTGTCATTACTATTTTCAGATAAGAAATATGAAATTAAGAGAGGTTAAATAATTTGGCCAAAATCACATAGCTAGTAGCTGTGTGGAGGTCCCAACCAAGCAACTCCCTAAAAATATATAAGAATGTTAGTACATTCTTCAGTTTTCTGTTTGGAATAGGTCAAACATGCCCAGAAATAGAAAAATTATTTGATAACACTAAATTTTATATGATCTGCCAATATTTATGCTGTTATTTTGCATGTTTTTAATTTACCTATCACTGTTACTTTTCATTTCTCATGAAAAATCAGAAACTCAATCCTATGGCATTCTAATCTCTGGAATACTGAGAATTAGAAAGTATACAGAAACTGTTGCAAGTCTGTGTATTAAACCAAGCCCCTCATACCATTACTTAGAACCTATTTACTATTATTTCACACCTAGTTTTAGCAAGTTTGTTTAAAAACATTTTTTTTAACTACCATGTTATTTAATTCATGCATTATTTCAACACACACATATTTACTAAGCACCTTAAGTAGCAGAAACTGTGGGATCATTGGGTATGCATAGATGAATTAAGAAATTTGTCCCTGTCTTTAATCAGGAAAAGTTATCAGGGAGAGGTAGCCACGAGTGGCCAAGCTGACCGGGAAGTGAAAGCAGTAAGTGACAATTGACAGCTCAGAAGGATCCTGAAACACCATCAAAAGAAAAAAGATAAGGGCCTAGAATTTTTCACTGAGGACAGCAATGAGAATTACATTCAGTGTATTCTGTTAAAGAAGTCAAGAAAAATACAATGTCTTTCAAAATGATGTTCCTCCAAAATTATTAAAAGAGAGTAATCTTAAAGAAATCTTTAGCTGTCATACTTAGAATGACAGTTCCAGATAGTCAGTTTTACCATACATAATATCCAACAAGAAAACTCAAAAAATTGTTGAAACATGAATTCTTGTTAAGGAAAAGCATCCAGTAGATTTTAGTTGTAAAACTTATTCAGAAGTGGGAGTCCTCTGAGTTCAGTCTAAGTTCCAGAAGTTTTATGCCTGGAATTTTTCATCAAGTCCTAGTATAAACATTGACTAGAACTTCTTGTGTGACACCTTTGTGAAAAATTGCTCTGTACATATAAAACTATTTTAATCTTGCATTTCAGCTCACTGATCCTGTGACCATAATTTATAGTTTTTTCTT